TAACCATTTTCACTTCCACTGCTGCCACCCCCACCTCAGCCCACCACAGCCTGCCACCACATCCACTGCCGCCTCCCCCTCTTTTTGCTCTGGTCACGCAACCAGCACAGAGGGGGGCAGAGTGAAGGGAGAGGGGGTGGCAGGTGAAGGAGGACATGGAGGAAGGAAGGGAGGGAGGGAGGGAGGGAAACAGGGATAAGGAGACAGAGGGAAAGAGAAAGGAGGGGGGGGGGACGATCGGAGAGAGGAAAGGCGGGTGGCAGGGAGGGGCAGGAGAGGAAAGAAAGAACAAAAAAAAGAAAAAGAAAAAAAGAGAAGTAAAAGAAAAATAGGAAAGTTTTTCAACCACTCCCCAACAAATACACACAAGTTTTTGTAAAAATTTTACAGTAAACTACAGTAAGACAAACTCCCAAAAACCACACCATCCAAACGCATATTTTTGAGTACAGGTTTGAAAACAAAAACAAGGAAAAAAAATAGGTACTAAAAGGCAATAATAGGACAACAAATTAGCTTTCCAATTTACTAATATAATTTCACAGCGCATCCCAAACTATGCATTACAATGCACCTCCAAGATATTTAAAGAATGTTTCAACAATCAAGGCCACAGCTATCCGTTAATGCACAAAACTCCTGAAGTTTTATTAAAAAAAAAAAAAGATTCCAAAAAGTAAAACAAAGGTGAAGATAGCCTCCAAATATGAAGCAAGTGTAAGAGAGGCTCCAAATAAGAGAGAAATGTTAACAACTGGACACCTACCAAAGGTGAAGATCTTGTGGATAGTTGAGCTCCATTACTAGAATTTACACTAGCCAAGTCAACAAATGACTTCCCAATTCCAGAAACATAGCCACCTCCAAATGTTTCATTATTGTGAGTATCCAACAAAATGTCATCACATCCACTGTCGTCAACCACTCTAAAAACTGATGAGAATTTGGTTTCTTCGTCAACTTCAAATTTTTCATGCAGTTGTAATCCTCTTTCCTATTAGGAAAACATGTTTTAGATGGAAGAGAGCAAGAAATGGACTAGTCAGAAAGAAAAGACAAAATATCAAGAAAGAATATTCCCACCTCTGCTAAATGGAGATCATGGGTGTCTTCTCCCTCTATTTCTCTAGCTATTCTTAAAGCTTCCCTTTCTAACTCTTTCATCTGTGGACCCTTTTCAAGTTTTGTTGTGTAAAGTTCCTCATTGAAAGTGCTTTTCACTCCAAATAAAGTTTCATTTGCTTGAAATTGATCCCAGCCCCTAAAAAGAACAAACTTGGAGTTGGATCAGGCTATGTAGAAGGAAAGAAGTTGAAAATGGATGTCAGAATGTCTTGTAGTCAACTATTCGTTTTAAAAATAAAGAGCATATTTCAAACAAACTGTAACAATTCATCAAACATAACTTAATCAATAACAATGTCGCAGTCATCCAAACAGAAGATGTAAATGGGCACCCTTGTACAATTCACTATGAAGCAAAAGTGAAACCTTTACTATTAGTTTATCCTAGTCCCATTCCAACCGCCCAAAATTAATCGTTCTAACTGCGTGATTTCATCCAACTGATGTTGGATTCAATGCAAACCATGATAGATGACAAAACTTTTTTCCGTTTTGGGAAAGGGGAGGATAGTTCGAAACTATAGGAAAACAAAGAATTAAGTCATTCAACAACCTATCCCAGTGACCATCAAATATGTTCTCCAATTCTGGACAGACAGGATCATCATCTTCAGGGACCCAGCGTTCCAATTCCCTATCCATTTCAGCACGCCGTGATTGTGATATGAACGAATCTATCAGAATCTCCTGATGCTTGTCACGTTGGAGCTCATTTCCCAATCCATCCCTAGTCACAGGGACTCCCTGTTACCAACAAGACCGGTGAAGGTCAGTAGATCGTAGGAGCTGGGACGAGAGATATCAACCATGCAGGGATAAAGCTAACAAGTCAGTTGTCACCCAGAAATCCAGAACAACTGGAAAGCGCATTGTATTTTTATACTTGCTGCTATTTCTAATTAATGAAAGAGTTATCACCCAGGAAGATGACACAGTAGTTATTGAAAACAAAAGAGCAAATAAATGAAGAAAACCTTTGCTATAACTTGCACAAGCTCTTTGGCTGGTATGATCAAAGTCTTTGAAGGTGGCTTGTTAATAGAATCTGTCATGTTCTTTTGCCCTCTTGAGCCATCTCTAACTAAACGAGCCATTTTCAGAACAATCCCTATGCAAGATGGAGCAAGCAGCATAATCAAGTAAGCACTATAAAACCAAAAAGTGGAACTCTAAAAAGCAATTTAATAATTCTGGGAGTGTACCGAAATCTTTCTCAGCATTCGTCGCATGAAGTATTCCAGAAAAAGCTGAGCCATCCACCACCTGGACTTCTACTTGATGCCCAACAAGACAAGTAGTCACATAAACTAGACGTTCCCGTGAAGGGCTTGCATATCCTCCCTCTTTGCCTGAAACAACTGACGCTAACAGCTAAAAAAGGAGAAAAAGCATATCTACACAAATTTAAATTAGCATTCTCACCTACACTACTTGAGCGACTTGAATTTGCTTTCACAGTCTGCAACTTACTATCTAATCTAGGGCCACCATCTTTCTCAGTTCTACGACGGCCAAAACCATTAGCAGCAGACCGAGGCTGAACAGCTTGCTGCAAACTCATTCTGAAGAAATGTCCTCTAACAAGTGCAGGATGATCAGTAGGCCCTTAACTTAGATTCAGTGATTGTGCTGCAAATTAGAAAAATATCATGAATAGACGACTTATTATTGTAAAAAGAAGGTCACTTTAGCTAATCTTAAGGACAAATTATACAATTCCTCGTGTAGTAAGTTTGCAAGGTGGTGGGAAGCCAAAAAGGATATTTATCAGACCAGTATACTGAACTCGAACAATATTCCGCCTGGCTCACATTTCCGTTTGACAGTAGTTACTTAGCAGCTTTTAGACATGACATCAATTAAGCAATCATTTTTCTCCATGCTTTTAGGCAAGGTCGAAAAAGGGATCATCATAAGCAAGCGTAGCACCGTCATACATTGTTATCCACTTAATAAGCTCATTTCCTATTAGTTCAACCTTATGATGCAACTATTGCAAGAAATACTGCTACCCCTTTCAATCTTGAATACATCCATGTCTATGATGCTGATTTATGAACAAAAGGTTAGGCTCTTTTAAGGCACAAGGACTAAGTTCTCTAAGGCTCAAGCATAAACATAATACATGTACGTATAGGATGAGCATATCAGTTGCAGTCTAGACATCACAATAGCCAAAAACCACTTTACGCCCAATTGCACAGGTCCAACATAACAACAGCAGTATAACAAAATGTGCCCCCACCAACTTCTTTTGAAAGGAAATGCTCATTAAAACAGGCAATTACAAACAACCAAGTAAAAAGACCAACTCTAATCACTCAAACCTCTCAAACCGCTGTACATTTTTTCTCTGGCTATTCCAAATCACGATCGCTTCTTTCCATTATCAAACTTCCTGACAAGCTCCCACAACTTGTATCAATCCCCACAAAAAAAAAAAAAAAAAATTACTCCATACCAGATAACAACTTTCAGTTATCTAAAGGACAGAGCAATGTCACAAAAAATCAAGACTAAAAAAACAAAAAAAATCTAAGCATAGGATGTAACTTCACCGCCGCAAAATTAAGAAAAGCACCAGACATGTTATGAAGAAGTATCTAAACATGAAACAACATCAGGCAATCATGAATTCACAACATTAAATACATAATGGTACGAGAAAATTAAAAAAAAAATTATTACAGCAGCAAGAATTTCAAAACCCTAGGGAGAATTCTGGTTACTAATAAATGCCCTAAAACCCTATGATCTACGGAGCAGCTTTACACTTTTTGTGCATGTGTTTGCGGGTGCGTGTAGACAGAGAGAGGGAGACAAGGATGCTTACTCGGCGGAGGAAACAGGAAAAAGGTCCGATCTGGTCGATTGGGATTATAATAATAAACAATAAGAAGAAGAAGAAGAAGAGAAGTCGAAGAGATGGAGAAGGGTTTGATCAGAGACAAGGCGACCCGCAATAACGAAGACGCCACTCTCCTCTTCAATTACTATTCTGTGCTAATAATAATGATAAAATAAACTCCCAACTCCAAATTCTGGTAATCGAAGATGGAATTAAATGGGTCTGTCAGGCTGGATTCAATTGAATTCAATTTGAGTTTCGGGTTCGGGTACACGGTACATCCTAAACTAAGGACCCGAAACCAAAAAAAAACAAAAAAACAAAATTTTCTTTTGTAAGATTTTCCGCTCACAATTCCCTCCTTTCTTTACCACACTAACCCCCCCCCCCCTCCCCCAGCCAAATGATGCGGCATTCTGCTTAGTCGTCGAATTGAGAAGATCATTGCGATCCAAATGGGTTCACTTAAATTTATATGTATTTATTAATTAAACAAAGAAAGGTGGACTTTAAAAAGTGGAGAAGCCAAAAAAATAATAATAATAATTTAAACCTAAGATTGGTTCAATTGAATTTGCAAACAGGCATCTGTTATTTACTTATTTATTGCTTGGTGTGGGTTGCTATTCTACTCTGGAGAAAATAATTCTTAAAAACGGTCGAATTTTGTTTTATCTCAGGATAATTTCACATGCCTCCCTTGAGTTTATGAAAATTACGTGAATCATTCTTTAAGTTTTCAAATTTACATTTTCTTGCCCAACACTGGGATTTTTTCAGCTTATTTGCCCCATACCACCACCAATGTGGTACTAGTACTACGAGTTGAATTTAACTGGTGCCGCGCTCTAAAAGACTCTTAAACCGTTCTTTATGTCTAATCGCTAAATTTTATTACCTAACTACTTGATAGGGAATTTTTTTTTTGGCAAAAGGCATGCTAAATGCTAATATTTTGAATCTGTACACACTTAAGTAAATGCCGAGGGATTAAATTTATATCAAACTAATTTTTTCAAACGACTCAAGATTAAGAAGGACCCCATAAATGAATGTTGCATAACATTTTGAATATTTGTGTGAAGCTGTGAATGAAAAAGTATCTTGGGCATACAAATTGGGAGAAAGAAATTTGGATTACCACAAAAACTGTAAAATCAGACCACTTCCAGAAAGACCGCTGCATGAATTCCAGTGTAAAATCACAACCACAGATGCTAAGGGCATTTAAATTTGTCTTCGCCTGCATTCATATATATGTCATCTTATAGAGGTAGTTTAATTTTCTCAGACCACTTGAAGATGTCTGAGTACACCTGATCACCTCCCAACTCCTCGCCGGTAGCCCCGGCAGCAACCCTGATAATGTCCTCGATAAGAGCAAAATTACCCATTATGTCAACATGCGCACCACTCTCGGTGCCACGACCCTCCAGAAGAAGATTAGACGGTGGAGCATGATCATACTCCCTTACATAAGTTTTGATTCCTGAAGGATTGAATCTAGTTTTCCCCCGCCACCCTTTTGCACACATGTAACCTGCACTTAAAGCAGGCACTGTCTCATCCCCATCGACAGTAAAAACACCATCTTTCAAACGCTTATCTTTGTCATCTTCATCTGCCGACGTATCAATCTGGAAGGGAATATAGCATTCTGAGGAAGGGGACTGCCTATAAACGTATGCTCTCTCAGTTGGGATACCGACTCCATACATTGAGTAGATCTCCATTTCGGGAGCGTTTGGCAACCTGGATGACCAAAACAAGAAAGAAAATGCCAAAAATCCAGGATAATGAGATATCGCTAAAACTATAGAGCAAAACAATATAATATTCTTGAACCAGTTTCCGCTACTTCCTGAATCTAGTTGCTTAAGGACTATGTGGGCATAAAACCAGAAGCAAGTTACATTCAGGAAAGACCAGACGTGCTTTGTTTGAAGAGTAGAAAATATTATGTGTTCTTACTTTGTTTCCAATGGGTTTGACCAATATTTGTAGTGCGCATACTTAGGGTCGTCCAGGTCATCAGCTATTCCATAGGAGAAGTGCGCATTGCCACGTGCCATCATTTTGGGGGCAACAAAATTCAACAAATCTACAAGTTCTCCAGCTGTATAAACCTTGTATTCTGCAACAGCTTTGATGCCAACCAAACCCATGTCATGATACTCTGTCCAGACATCACGACAAGTATTATTTGCAGTATTGCTACCTTTAACGGCATCCTGCATGGAAACAACGATGTGAGCAGTTCAATGCTAGACTAGTTTTATGGCAAGAGTAACCAAGTAAGCACACTACCTAACAGAATTCGAACAGATACAAGTTCAAAAAATGAAAATATCTTACTAATTATTACCTGTGGCTTGAAAAGACAAATTACTCCATTCATTATATTCTGATTATCTGGATGAAATGTTGATTCACAGACCACACATCTCTAGATCTCCAAGTGATGTAATTACATACGATGTTGTAATTTTTCTTTTTTATATTAATATAGTTGGGATGAGAATCACGTTAACTCCTATAATTTAAGATGGGACAGAAGTATTTGCCTAATTTGAAAAGCTTGCAACAATCTGTACAGAACAAGACGAGGTTTCAATTACCACGTGCAGTGCACATTGATATTAAGGGCTGGAGAAAGAAAATTGTATATCAACTTTAATTGCATGAAACAAAGTGACCAGGAATCCTCACAAAGATCATGGAGACTCAAGAGAGATTACCCTAAAGTCAATCTTCTTGATCTCAGAAGAATGTGCTTCTGCCACATCTTTTCCGAATGATATTATCCTTCCGTAATTGACGATATTTCTTGCCTTAGATTCTGTGCTGACATTCTCATTGTCAGCTGAGCAGTCAGCAGCGTTCGATCTGTGCTTTTTCCTCTTACTGGGAAGGTAGCCTTCTTCAGGTGACCAATCAAGACCACCCCAAATGGTGTCACCACCTTTTGGAATCATTGACATTGTCGAATCCCATGTTCGTGTCATCTTCATTATGTATTGTAAGGTCTGAATGTGAAATAAATCCTTGTCAAGAGCACCTGGTGCAATGGCCCTGCATTTTAGGCAACAATAAGAGTAAGTCTCATCATTGTATTTGTATTCGCACAAATAACTAAGCAAAGATGTTTATGGGATTAATTATTGGCATGTGAACATGAAGTCATTGGAATGTCTGGCATGTATAAAAATCTCCATTGCACTCATACGAGTCATTCTGTAAACCCTAACAAAACACTGATAATGTCATGTAGAGGCACAAAATCCTTCAACGATATCTAAAAATCAGCAAAGAAAAGGAAAAGATGTCCTCAGTTGTCACCAACTACCAGAAGCAGCTTCAAATTGATATACAACTAGTAGCCGACTGAAAATCTAATGATGTCCATAAAGCAATCACTATCCATCCCAAAATGCACAAAGTTCTGTACATGTGCAACTAATGTTAGTAAGACTAAATCAAATTTGTGGTTATCTAACAACAGGTGCTAAACACAAATTGCACCATCCAGTGCTCAGATATGCCACATCACTGTTATTACAGGTTTCTTAAGATCATTAATACAAATACAAAAGCATTTATTAAAATCATGTGTTGCAATCAAGTGAAGTAAAAACATGTGAGAATGCATTTGAAACAAATTCATAGATGTCTGCGATGATAAAGAAAATAGTAGTATTCTCTTAGAATGATACTTAAAATAAGAAGCTTAGCTGTCTCCAATTTTGTGAGTCAGCGTTAAAGGAAATCTCAGTCTTCTCTTCCACCCCTCCTCCCCCCACCCTTCCAGGTCCCAAAGAAATGAAAAATCAGAAACCCCAAAAAGACAAGAATGATATGGTTAAGAATGCTTTCTCGGAAGGGCTAAGCCAACCAACATCACATATAAAACTAACACCTAATTATACAGCAAACAAGATGCAGTCCATCAGAACTTTGTGACAAAGTTTGCCTTCCAAAAGATACAGTCTTTGTAATAGCAAAAAAGCAAAGGATTTTTCCCTTATCTGTCTTGCTCGTAAGGATAAATAGATTAAGTTAGCTGGAACTATTCCTTCCATCTATCTGGTTGCGGTTCTCAGTGTTCAGTCTGTCAAAAATAAATGTAACATGAACATTTCAACATACCTGGCAACAGCAATATCCCTGGCCTCAGCAGAGAAAAGCCCAGAGACAGATTTAGGAACACCTAAAAATGGTCCTCCAATGTTCATGACAGCCTTTATATGCTTGGCACACCAATCTGGTCCTCCACCACCACCCATTGGAGCTGGTGCTTCTACCCATTTCATAAAATGCAGAAAGTATAGGGCGCCCATGGAATGTGGAACTACAACTGCCTTTTTGCCACCATTTGTAGCAACCATTAGTTCTATATTGCTTTTAATCCGACTCAGTGTCTGGTCACGCACCTGATCAGGTTTAAATACCAAACTTCAGGATCAGAATTAACCACACAATTCATCCGGTCAAACCTCGATTTTGCATTCTACGGCTCAAACCTTAAGATAAGTGTGTACCTCGGTGTTCTGAAATGAGATTCTCCAATCATACGCAGCCATATGCATGGTTTTCTCCTCATATCCAATTCGAGCCAAATTAGCAATTAGAACAGCCCAGACAAAGTATCCAGGAACAAAGTAATCTGCAGCAACAAGTCCAGGGACAGGCCTGACCCTTATACTAGGAGGATCCAAACCAGTTTCATTGTTCAGAGACATGTGCTCAACCCAGCATAAAGGTCTGGAAGTGAAAGAAATATAAGACTGATAAGCATGGATTGTTGGTGCGAAAGCAATTTACTCCTTAAGCAACTCCAACGCCTCACAAGAAAAGAAATAAATTTACCAACAAATATTTTGAGCCATAAATAAACAAAGTTAAAGAAAATAGAAGTCATTTACCACTGCTTTGCTTCCGAAACTGCATTAAGAAATTTAAATCAGTAGATATCTTATGTACTTTAGGGTAAAACGTAATGGTATTTGTGTAGGGAACAGGGTATTTCCCAACCCCTTTTTGCAAGATGCCGAATACATGTAGCTTGGGAAGTACCACATGCTAAGCACGTGCTTGGCACACATAACGAGGTCTCTGACATACGACTGTCCTCCTTATTATCACAGGCAGTGCTCAAGCCACCCAATCGCCGACCAACCTGTCTCCCCTATTTCCCTATGACAGAACGAGACCCAATAAAGGGGCGCTTCTCTCCTCCTATAAAAGGGGAATTCTCCCTGTCATTTTCAGGTACGAAAATTACTAGAAAGCTTGCTACAATCACTTATTAAACCGGAGCTAGCTTAAGCATTGGAGAGACAGCGGGGGGATAGCCCCCTCCTTTTTGTCTTGCAGGTAGTTCGGCTCTAGTTGCTCGGCAATTCCCAGCAGAACCTCTACACTATTCATTTTGAGAAAAAATTAAAAAAAAAATATGACAATGAGTACAGGAACAGACTATCTCAACAATAGATAGGAACAGACTATCTGTTCCATATGAACAGACTATCTGTCTTGTTTGGATGTTCTGACCTTCCACAAAAGATTAAAGACATCCTTAATGCCATGACTCAACAATGATGCCAAAAAAAATGCTTGCACAAGTCAAAACTCAGATCTTAAAGAGCAAAAATGTGGATTATGCAAATTGAAATTTGTGATGGAGGGAGGTGCATTAAGTTTGTTGCAGTTATAGTAGACGGACCCATATATATATATATATACACACACACACATACATACATACATATATATAGAGTTTTTCATGAGTAAAGCCGGAAATCAACAGGAGGTTGAATGGGGATTTACATTTAACGGTTCTGACACTTGAATTCATCCAGTGAGGTGTCCTGGATTGATTAAACTACAACTTCTAATTGCCTTAAAGTCTTATTTGCAGAACCTGAAAAGCAAACTCAAAGCTAAAGTCATCCCAGGCCTACTGTAAAAGAATGACACTGAAAAGGTACTCTAAATTTTCAACATATTTAAATCTTCCTTGGACTTTCATATCTTGCTTCATGCCAGAATGGCAACTCCAGCAGTAAATAAGACCAAGCTTGTATATAAAACCAGTTAATAAAAGACCTCGTTTTAATAATTTTTTTAATAAACAAAGAAAGGAAAAATACTCACCTATATGAAATTTGCAATTAGTGTGACCTAACTATGCATAATACTGACAGATGTTGCCAATCCACCTTATCAGTCAAACTACTTCACAAATCAGTACATGGACTATGCATTTCTATATTCCAAGCTCAACCGAGTACAGTCTCCAAACATGTAAAAATAAGATAAAAATGGATAAAAGTTTACTTCCAAGATCCTCACTACATCCATATTGAATCCAAGTTCACCTTTTCACAGGCACAGAGCAAATTGGAAAAAATAAAAAAAGGGTCGCCAACTACAACAATTCACGAGAAGAACAGTGCCACTCATCATCCACTGAAGCTGAAGCTAAACCGATGGGAAAACAGAATAAATCAAGTCATAGAAACTCGTAAAATGCCAAACTTTACCAAGCATACCTTTTGTAGACTTCTCCAAAAGTGCCTCCCCATAGCCTCTTTCGAAACAACCCTTCAGCACACTGATGGCCCTCCCAAAGCTCGAGTCCGCCGGTGACGATTCCGGGGACAAAAACCACCGGATGCTTGGCCTTTAATCCTTCCTTGTGCAATTTAACCCCAGGTGGGTCCGGCCACGGCCCTGTGATTGCCTCCGACACGAACTGCGGGATGGACGCCGGCATCGCATTGTATAAGAACAACAAGCCCCACCAGACCGTGCAGACGCAGCCAACAAACCAACAGCAGTTGTCCAAGCACGACCATTTCACCCTTTCCTCAGCTTTTTTGGGGATTTTCTTGTTTGGTGTTAGCTCCTTTTTCTTGTTGTCGTCCTCTTCCAGTTCTGGTTCTGGCTGAGGAGGGGTAGGCTTTTGGTTTTCTGGTGGTTTTCTCCTCCTAAGAAACGACATCGTTTACTTGGATTGCTTCTTCTTCTTTTTTTTTTTTTTTTTTTATCCGTAGGGTGGACTGCAGAGAGCTGGGGAAGGTGGCCGCTGGTGGCGGGGAGAGGAGCAAGGGTCGTGGTCGGAAATGGGAGTGAGGGAGGTCGGCTGTGGAATTTTGGGGCTTGGGATGCTTCGATCAGTTGATTGGCTGGCCCAGGAGCTAATGTGGGGCCCAGAGGGGAAGAGTCTTCCGCGTGGGTGGCGGTTGACTTACTTGACGAGTGCCTTCTGGATTATTGATCACGGGACAGAGACAGACAGACAGAAGGCCCCCGGAGAGTCATTAGATGATCTGATGATTTCATTGCACGGTGAGCATCAAGAATCGAGCCGACAAAATAGGTGATTTGAGCGGGTTAGGATCGATTAAAATAAATAATGAATATAAATGAGTTAATTTATTTATATTTATTTAATTAAAAAAGTATAAATAAATAAATCAAAAAATGAATTAGGAATACTTTTTGAATCATCAATCACAGGACGGAAGACAGACAGAAGAAGGTCCTGGAGAGTCATTACTCATTAGATGATCTGATGATTTCATCTGTGTATGAATAAACTCGTTCAAGCTTGATTCTATTAAAGTTTAAGCAAGGTTACATTCTGTATTGGATTTAGTTTTAAGTTTTAACCTCGATTCAAGCTTAGCTTAATTAGCATAACGTTGCTTCGGTTATTTAGAAACTCGTCCAAATTTGACTCGATAAATATACGAGCTTAAATTGAAATGAAACACGCAACAGGAAGAAAAAAAAAAAAAAAAGGGGAATGGCCACCAGAATATCAATTTCTTGAGTTGAGTAAACGATTTGAAAGAAAAACTTTGCCACTTTTATGTTTATTAACCAATAAGGTTTTTTTCCCCTTTATTGTGGGTATTAATTTAAGATGAGAGGTTATAATAAAAAAAAAAAAAAGACACTTTTCACTTGCGGCAATTCGACCAATCAGATATTTCAGTTTACTTTCACCATTGGCACGTAAGGATTGTTGGAACGCTGTTTACGGTATAGTATCTGCCCTGACAAAATTAAATTCAGAGCGCCATCCGAGAGTAAACCTGGACCCATTGTCTCCTCTTTGAGATGCAGTAAAGAAAACCTGGAAAAAGAATTCTACAAACACAGACAAAATTCCGCATGAACGAAAACACGAGAAGACAGAAAACAGTCCGTTTCATCAATAATAAGAATAACAACCCCAAAGGACGTGTTTACAATCGATGTAATCTGGAAAAGTAGGCGAGAAAGACAATAATAAGATATGCATCCAGATAAACCAGGCAAGTTTCCTCTCAACTGAATCCAACATGAAGAAACATATGAAGACCCGAAGCAGCAGCGGAGCATAATAAATTTTAACTTGGGCCACCTCCAATCAAAGTCTTATAACAGTGGCAGATTCTCCGAAATCTACCAGTTCAAAGATTTCTCATTCATTGATAGGAGAGTTTAAAAATGCCCACAACATCACTTGAGTCCTGCCCATGGGAGCATATACAAGAGGAATTTGAACAATTAATCCTCCGAAGCAGCGATTGTAATTGGGAAGTTGGCCTTACTGTTGACGAGCAGAAGATGCTTTCATCGAAGTGGCAAGGTGTTTCATCAGCAAGGGAAACCAAAACTTGGGCGAATCACGCATTTGAGAAGGGGCGATGGCGGGGCGAGGGCCCAGATTAACCTGTTTCCCGTAGGGGGCGTTTACTCATTACTGGAGTAATAAGCAGCTCCCATGTGGACTGTGGACAAATGGTCACGGATTTCCTCTTGATTAATTTGTTTCATCACTATATACTCGCCTCCACAGACCTTCATGTCAGAGCCTCAGAGGATGTGTAGCTATCATAAACTCGCCTCCACAGAAATCGTGATTGTTTTTTTTTCATTTCACATAAGATGCAAAATTTGGCTAAGCTAACGTGACACAGATCAATGGCTCCTGTCTTGCCTAACACTAACACCATGCAAAAATAGTTCAAGAATGTGCTAACCAGTAAAAAAAAAAAAAGTCATATGTAAAAATTAGGGAGAAAGGGTAAATTCGAACAGTTTAAAGGGAAGTTAAAGGAAACTAAACCACCCCTTGATCAAAAAGTTAGTATTTTACTGTATCTTTTTTTTTTTTGAATTAATTACGTACAAGTTAAGAGATTCGAACCCTAGCATGCAGCTCAACAATCATGTAGTTTGTTGCAACCAATAAGGTAAGAACTCAGAGATTCCCTCGATTTCGGGCAAGCAACTTTCAGGAGATAAAATGTTAATTTTCTCAAATTTCACGTAATAATGAATTAATTTTCAATAAATACACAAATTCAGACCCCTTTTTTTGGGGAGGGGGGGGATGGGGGACTGTGGTGGCAGAGTTGCGTCCGTCCCCACCCTTAATTCTGCAACTGACCTGAAGCATTAATCTGTGTTTTCGGACTCGGATCAAATCGATCGGTTCGACCAGTCGAACCGAAAATCGGCCAAGTGTCCGGATCGAGCCATGCTTCAAAACCGGGTAAGCAAAAATCCGGTCAAATTCAGCCAAAAAACCGGGTTTGACAGGAAAAATTAGGGAGAAAGGGTAAATTCAAACAGTTTAAAGGGAAATTAAAGGAAACTAAACCGCCCCTTCATCAAAAGAGTTAGTATTTTACTGCATCTTTTTTTTTTTGAATTAATTACGTACAAGTTAAGAGATTCAAACCCTAACATGCAGCTCAACAATTAAAATCTTTTTTCTTCCTGAATGTCGGTGGTTAAAATTAAAATCTCTGAATTTAAATTTTTCTTCCTCTCTTAGTTTATTAAATCCAACTTCTTTCCTTTTTGAAAAAAAAAATCTTTTTTTTTTCAAAATGCCATTTAAAAGAATGTGGATGAACGGCGTGAGTGAGTGACTACCTTGAGCTATATTAAAGGATGGTTGCTCATTGTGTCTGCTACTCGATCGAGAGGTACTAAGGCTTGTGATCCAATTGAATGTTTTGTTGTAACGACTGACGCCGCAGGCATGCAGCTTCAGCGGAGAAGTCCCCGCCTATTTATAAGAGCCGTTTGTACATGCCATTTTCCTCCCCCCTCTAAAAATCTCAGATTTAGCTAAAATTAAGTGCCTGATTTTGCTATTCTCTTCTTTTTACCTTTTTTCAGTTCTCCATCTTTTTTTTTTTTTTTTGGGACTGAAAAGCAAATTGCTTTTGCATGGAAAGAAGAGGAAAAAGATCCTGGCCCTGATGGAATTGAAGAATGTGTTCGTTACGGTTGATTTACTGTCTCTACGCATAATAGTATAAATCTTGCTACTAGAATTGATGAAGTTGAACTATTCAATACATATCTTACTATATTCATTGGGAAATTAAAATGACCGTACGTACTCGATTAAGTTACAAGAATCGTCGTATTTCTATCCTTTGGGGGAAAAAAAAAAAGAAATCTTATTTCTAGTTCTACACAACAAGGATATTGATTTCTTTTGTCATGCTGCACACATTTGCTTTGATAAACTTGCATATCGATAACTGCAACATTACCTAGTCGTTATTTACAATTTCAATTTCAATAGAGGTCGCCTTCATTTGAAAAAAGAAAAAAAAAAGAAAAAAGGAAAAAAAATGTGCAAGGCGCAAAGTGTATGTATTAATATTATCGAACCTAGCTTGACTTGTTTATGTATTGAATTGAGTCCGAAATCGAGCTCAGCAAACCAAAACATTAGAATTCAATCTTGACTCGATCGAGGAAAAGACAGGATTGAACTCGAGTCAAAAGGCTCATTGTCTAAAACTCGATTTTTGGGTCGCAGGTAGCTCGAAATTTGAATGGTCAACCTGAGTTGCGCTCAATTTTTTAGACCGCTCGGTTCGAAAATAGTACTACTAGAAGTTACGCAAGTGGGGGGAGGGGAGAAGGGAGAAGTACTTTGGCGGGTGCAGGTCCACCATGCCCCCTCGAGTGAGTGAAGTGTTTCCCTCGGAAACTCAAACCCAAAATGTGACAAAGACGGACGGGAAATACTTGCAGGTTGCAGCAGAACCCGTTGCCGCCTCTCTTATGATCTTTTCCTTGCAGAAATGCTCCCTACTGTACCAGTACCACACGGAGAGAGCATGGAAAACCCCACAAATCTCAACAGCTGCTCTCTCTGCATCTTCGCCCTTCTTTGCTTTCCCTCCCGCATTCTCTTCTTCTTTTCTTGCTTTCTTTATTATTATTTATTATTACTACTATTATTTTTTTTTTTCTTTTAAAGCAGTCAACAGCGTGGAAGTAGAAGTAGATGGAAAAGAATCACATCAAACAATTCTATGCGTTATTATGAACTCCTCCCAGCTGCCAGTAACTAGTGTCAGTGGTAGTATTTGATTCGGTTTTAGATTTTTAATGAAAGAAAGATGATATCCAACGAGGCAGTGTGATGGAGGGAGAGTAGGCAGACAGGGAATAGAATAATAATAAATGGAAGGAATCCTGCAGCAAATGAAGCTAACGGCAACTTCGATCCACCTCTCTTAAGTCTTAAGTCCATGTCCGATGCTAATCTCACTCCTCCAACAACTCTTCTTCTCCTCTTAAATTAATCGCCCCAGACCAGACCATCCAACACCCCCTCCCTTCCCCTCTTAATGTCCGCGCCTATTCTATTTGTATTATTATTACTCCTATATTACTTCCCCGGCCATTAACGCCTCCGCCATCTCTCACCTCTCTCTCTCCAATCTTCTCCTTCTCCAACCTCTACTGCAATTTTCTGAACCGACCCTTCATGCTTCATAACATAACTTGAGTCGTCCTCGCCGTTTTTCCTTCGCACTTGATCATGCCCTGATCAAATTACCGAGTACATGTACTCCTCCATTGATTTGCTGACCCACTTTTTTCCCCGGTACCACGAGTTGGCTGCCTGCTTTTGTTTCAGATTCCCACCCCCCCCCCCCGCCGGGCCCCGGGGGCGAAAGCTAAACTTTGATTTACTACTATTTACTAGGGGAGATCAAAATTATTCTACATTCTCAATTCCTCGGCGCGCAGCTCTGGTCCAATCAAGCAGCAAATAATGTTGACTTGCATAGCTTGCTCTAAGCAACACCTCAATGCCGCATCTCTTCCCCAACCCCAGCATGATGACGACGACGCCGCCGCTATTTCCACTCCCTCCACTAGACAAGCCATCAAAGCCCTCACTTCTCAAGTACTGTAGTCTGATATCCATAATCCATCCATTACTCTGCCCTTTTCATTCTGCTACATAATTCTCTACGGAGTACTATTTTCATTCCAGTTTTACATTTGTTGATCATTAGGCATTATTATTACTATTAATGTGTTTTAGATCAAGGACATTGCAATAAAGGCTTCGGGTGCGTACAAGAACTGCAAGCCCTGTTCTGGCTCTTCCAACCACCACAATAACCGCGGGGATGGCTGCGCCGATTCCGAACCCGGCTCTGTCTCCGGCCGCTATCAGTTCTCCTACGCTAGAGCTGCTGCTGCTGCTGGTAGCTCCAATTCTACGCCTAGGCGGCCCTGGGGGAGGGAAATGGAATCCAGATTGAAAGTGCCTTCCAGCGGCGAAACCACGCCCGCCTCCGTCAGCGGCCGGACTGAGTCGGTCGTGTTTATGGAAGAAGACGAGCCCAAGGAATGGGTCGCTCAGGTCGAGCCTGGCGTCCTTATCACATTTGTTTCGCTTCCTCAAGGAGGGAATGATCTCAAACGAATTCGCTTCAGGTACTGCAACTTTTCAGTTTTCCTTCTTCTTTGTTTAGCTTCTCTACTCTTTCTTTTTTTTCTTTTTTTTCAAATATAGTTTAGGCTCGTCTGGTGCAACATTGGAAATCCCCGTCTACGGTCAATAATTGCGAAGAACAACAGAACGGAACCAGGGAACAGAACCCTGGTTCACCGGTGTCATAAAAGCGGGTAACAAAAGTTTTCTGGATCTAATTATCAAAGTCGTTATTTGTTGGAGAGTGATGCATAATGGTGGTGATAATGATGACACTGCATGAATTATGTTGGGGCAGTCAATATTGTCGGGTTCTATTACTATTCGCTTCAGAGAAGGTCAGGGGCGGAGGGGACTGGGAAGTTGTATTACTATAATTGTTTTAACAGCGATGCGGTTGATCGAATAATATGGCATGTGAAGGCACATTATTGTGATCCACCAGTCCCGGTTTTATGGAAAGCGGGCCTGCCCCAAGAGAAGTGGGTCTTGACCCTTAATTTAGGGGGTAAGGGGCTATGACTGGACATATAAAAATTCACTTCTACGGCTGCCCTACTGTCGAAATCTGCCGGCATTGAATCCTAAAGCTAGGAAACTTTAAAGCATCGGATTCGGGGACCGGTCTCTCGCTCTCAAGTCTCATTCCTAATGGAAGAGGTTAACTTTTACATTATTGTAAGCACCAAAAGCTTAATAAAGGAAGAGGTTAACTGGTAACTAAAGTCTTCCCTCAGCTGCTGCGCTCAGTGCAGCTTATTTAGTTGAATTAATCGAGTGAATCATAAAGAAACAGAGTCATAAATCAAATGCAGAACCCAATTTTGTGTTCCATTCATGAAACTCTTGTCCTGTTTATGAACGGAATTTGTAGTAAAAATTATTCTCGTGTTAAACCATGCAGCATAAACAAGTTTCTGATTTGAAATGTCGGTCTTGATGCCAATTATTGCCGATCCTGGTTCCAAAGGCCCGATAATGGTGACACCTGGAGCCTATTATTGCTGATCCAGATTCCTGAGGTCTGATGAATGTGACCATCTCGAGCTTATGTTGATCCTGCTTAATTTCGTATTGTCCCTAAGGCCTAAATAGAACAAGAAATTCGGCTAAGGACGTTAAATAACTGACTTGCTGAATCTCAAGTGATGGACAGTAAAGTTCGCTAGTTTGGAACCTTTCATATTTCAACCACAACGGCCTTGACTGTTGTTACTTTACTCCCCCTCCCAATAGAATAGTGTATTCCTTCTCCTTATCATTTTGCTTTCTGGGGACCGAAAGTTATGATCAGTTGCATGGTAAACATTTCTGGATTCTTTGATGTCAAATGTAACTGATATGGTATCTTATTGCTTTGTTGATGGTGTCAGTCGTGAGATGTTTAACAAATGGCAAGCTCAACGATGGTGGGCGGAGAACTATGACAAGGTAATGGAGCTATACAATGTCCAGAAGTTCAATCAGCAAGCAGTACCGCTGCCAACTCCACCAAGATCTGAAGATGAGGTGCATCTTTTCGGCCTATTAGTGATCTTACCGTGTTCCCCGTATTCTTGGAAATATGTATTTTAGAGCTTAATAACTGCTTGATTTTATATTGAGTTAAAGATAAAAAAATGAAAACTTGAACAGTTTTTTATTCGCATTGTAAACATTAGCAATTATGTGCCATTCACAGCATGCAACTCATGTATCTAATATCTATGGCACTGGTTGTTGAGTAATTTCTTTTGATTCAGATCTCAAAAATGGAATCTGCTGAAGACAGCCCTGCAACACCACCACTAAACAAAGAACGGTTACCCAGAAATTTCCACCGTGCACTTGGGATGGGCCATTATTCGTCAGATTCACTTGAAAACCACCCTATGCATCCTCGTACTTACTACGAGTCAGCGGGGCTTACTTCAACCCCAAAACTTTCAAGCGTCAGTGCTGCAAGAACTGAGACATCATCCATCGATGCTTCTGCACGGAGTAGTTTATCTAGAGAAGCTGACTGCTCGGGAGAGCTGTCAGTTAGCAATGCCAGTGATATGGAATCCGAGTGGGTTGAGCAAGATGAGCCTGGAGTTTACATAACAATCAGGGCCTTGCCAGGTGGAAACAGAGAACTTAGACGGGTCCGATTTAGGTAAGTGGTTCTCCTCTACACTTTCACCCACATTGAACTGCTTGTCAGAACAATCGGCCTTTAGCACAAAATGTCTTCGTTGGAACATTGTGTGCCATGTTTTTTGAACTAGAACACCCGGATGACTTACAAGTCATTGCAAATGCTGTGCATACCTAGATCAACTACACTATTTGACCAGTCCATAAGAAGAGGAACCATCCCTCAGACTGGACAATCTTTTGGGCTTAAATTTTTCCTGATATGTTTTCTGATCAAATATTGGACATTTATCTGGTGGTTGTGATGATGCAATTCACATTCAGAAGCATCAGACATTGTAATCTTATTTGGTTGTAATTCTTTGCGTGCAGCCGAGAAAGATTTGGAGAAATGCAGGCAAGATTGTGGTGGGAAGCAAATAGAGCCAGGATTCAAGAACAATACTTGTAATTTAGCAATAAACCTCGAGGGCAGACAATTACATTCTTCTACTGCTTGGTCGTCAAATCTATCTACAAATTGCTATATATGTGATGCTGCCACTTCAATTAGGTTTGTTATGTGTCTATGCGATTGGATTTCTCTTCACCGGCTGTTTTTTTTTTTTTCTTTTTCCCCTCCTCTGCGCTACTTTTAATTTCATTGGTTTATGTAATGATTGAAGTGGTGGTTGGTTTATAGAAACCAATGTGTATAATGAGAAAAAGTGGTTTAGAACTCGACTCATAGTAAATGTTTCTGGCTGTACTTTTACTAATGCTGTATCTCGCCAACACGGTAATTTCTCAATCTGCAAACCAACAAGTTGCGCCAAGAAAAGTAAAACACATTGGCGAATAATTAACCGCAAGCCTAGCAAGTAGCGGGATGTACCTCAGCATTGGTGATGGCATTATGCAGTTTTGTTTCTGGACATTTTTGGAGTTCCAAAATGACCTTGTGGTCTCTTGACGTCTTGGCCAAGCTGCACAGGCGTTCTGGCGTGGCTCATACAAGTTCATCTTTCTCATGTTCTTGCCTTAAAAAAAAAAGGGTTAATTACATTTACCTCCCTTGAGATTTGACCAAATAACGAGTCGATTCCTGAGATCTGACCAAATAACGATTCCTCCCCCACACTAACTTATGTCACTTATAAGTAACGGAAATAGCCAAAAGTCTGAATAACCCTTATTGATTTCCATCATAATTTTTAAGGGTTAATTACATCTACCTCCTTTGTGGTTTGATCAAACTACCATTAAATGCCTGTGGTTTGGTAATATTACAAGTACCTCCTTTTTAAATAACCCCGTCAAAGACACTTAAATAGAAGTAGTAAAAATGTCATATTTACCCTCTCTGTAAAAACTTGTAGTTAGAAAAAACTTACTGTTAAAAAATCGAAGGTGGTTTCAATAATAACAAATTAAACTAAGAGTTTGCCACTTAAATAAAACAGTTTTTAACCAGTATAAACGAAAAAAATAAAACCAAGCATGTAATAATCAAATTTGATAAAATATGTGCATAAAGGAACAAAAGAAAGAAAATGAAGAAAGAAGGAAAGCCTAGAAAACAAAAAAGAAATTAAAATGTGAAAAGCAAAGAAAGGAATGGAAAAAAAAAATAGAGTGAAAAAAGGAAACCGACAATTGAGCGATGAAAGAAAATTTATAGAAGTAATGTAAAAGTTCACTCAATCCACCACAAAAGAGTCTCTACAAGTCTGTTACCCTTTGTCGGCCAATAATCTTGTTTGTTGTATTTCCCTTCTTTGCAACTACTACAATCATATCGACCAATCCAGAGACAAGTAAAATCTCAAACTCACTAAAATTGGTAGCGAGGAATTAACGGTTATCAACCAGGATCTGACTTGATTCAGGCGGGTATTTAGAGTTCCAAATAATCATTTTTTCAACTCTAGGTTATATCTATAGTTGGTCATTGGGTTTGATATTATCAAATGGGGTTTTTCTCTGCTTAGAACGGAGTTAAAAGATGGTTGTTATGAGAATAATAGAGATGAAGGCAATTAAATTTCTATAAATTTATCATGATTTTGACAATGAAAACGTGCTCACCAAGAAAATGATCATGAACGTGGGTATCGATAAATATATCTCGATGATTTTGCTGCCATAGTTATGTCAACGGTGGTAAATGAAGTAGGTTAGGTTTTAAAGAAAAGCAACGAAGGGAAGGGGAAGGTTATGGATTTAGGGGCAATCTAGGCATTTCATTAAATTTGTATGATGGCATCATTATAATCTTAACAGTCAACAGCAACAAATTAACAGGAAGGGTGTATCTGTTATACATCTTTCAATTTGAGGGACCTTTTTGTAGTTTGTGTAAATTTCAGGGAGTAAATGATAATTTGGTTAAACCTCAAGGGAGGTAAATGTAATTAACCCAAAAAAAAGTTCTAAGCTCCCAAGAAGGAACACTTTCTAATCACCCTTTTCTAATTCTAATGAGTCAATGATCACAAGTAATAATAGTACGCAGTGTTTTCTTATCGATTAATTATATACAACGAATGAGATGGAAAAGTAGTCCAGTTTTCATTATGCATTTAGTAAAGGAGTTGTTTGATAAATAAAGAAATTAGTGAAAAATATTAGAGGTTTGGTTGAATATTATAGCTACACTGTTAATGTTAAACTACTTCACATAAAAAAAATAAGGATTAATCTTTTTTGGATTGATAGTGTAAGTGTTGGATAAATAATAATTATGTAAAATTTAAATTTAAAATTTAACTTTCATATATAAATTATAAATGAAAAGTATAATTTACTGTTTTCATAGTACTTTTTTCAGTGAAAACAATCATCTGTGTCATTTGTACTTTCTTGCTGTTTTAGAATTAGACATTAGAGTTAACAGCGAGGTAGATTCAAATTGAGAAGCAAAATGTCATAGGACAAAGGAGTTCGTGAAAGTTAAAATAGACGGGGTCATGCTATAATGATTTGTCAAGGCAAAACCCTATTTAGAAACCATTGAGCTTAGCTCAGCGGCTACTAAAGAAAGACTTAAATCTCCCGTTGGGTTATAGGTAAAGTTTGAACCCTCGCCTGCAGCCAAAAAAAATCTAAAGGTAGTGTCATAGCACTACTTTAATCTAGTTGGATTTGTATACCCACTACCCCCTAACACAAGTCTCCTTAAGCTCTCCCTTCCCCTAGATTAGAATAGAGTAGGTTATATAATGTATCGTTGTTGGGAAAAAAAAAACCCCTATTTAGAAAGATTTGAAATCAAATGAAAATTCACGGAGTAAATGCTGTTTATTACTACCATACTTGAAGAAATATCTGATACTACAGTAGGCAGAAGTAGACTACAAGAAGCTTCTCCAAATAAAGAAAAAATGTAAGAAGACTCCGCCCGTAATCCTGTACTCTCCCAATGTACGCATATTCTAACGTAGGACTTATCCATTTTGGGCAAGTGGATTTTGGACCAGGCTCTTTGCTCCAATAGAAGCCTGTTTTTATAGTCTTCGCTGCCTGAATGACTACTAAAACATCCAACAGGATCCACTTGGCCCATGCAAGTTTTGAAACGCTCTGTAAGTATACAACGAGCGTTTCCTTTTTTTCACTTTTTTTTAAAATTATTTTCGACTTTCTTTTGCTTTTGCACAAAGGTTTGGAGACTTATTTGCATGATCACCTATTAAGTAGGTTTATTATTTTCAAGAGAAAATCAGCATATTTGGATTGCTACATTTTTTTTGGAAAATTTTCCTTACACATTTCTCAACAACCTCTTCTACCTCACATATGTATTTTTTTAAATAAAAACTATAAAAAAAAAATTGCAATATGAACGAGACCATGTATCTAGGATTATTAACGGGTCAAAATTAAAAATTTCAAACCCAGACTCGTTATAATGTGCCAATTTCGGACCAGACCCGTATACACAATGAATCTTGTGCTTAGGGTTCTGAAATCGAGTTCAACGGATCCCAGATCGGATCCAAGTCTACCTAAAAAAATAAAACCTAACAAAATTAATGTAATTAGAAATATTATTGTATTTAAAAATATGGCCCCAACAAGATTAGGATTTGTTAATTTGGTAAAAGATATATTCTTGGTCCGAGTCGAACACGAATTGAAATCATATATTCTGTATCTAACTCGTTTTTTTATGAGAGTAAACGGGTCTGAATTTGAGTTCCGGTAATGAAATTATTGCTTAATCTACATCCGAAAAAAACTATTGGGTCCGGATCCAAACCTGACTCGTTGACAGCCCTACATGCATCTAGATTTTTTTTTTTTTATAAAGTCATAATTTTGCGAGATAAAAATTTGTATGGATAGAAAATTATTAGTAAAAATTATAATTAAGTAGAATTACATTTTCCAAATTTTTTAGATAAGAGATTATTTAGAAAATTTATTCAGAATAATATTATAGTACTTTTCGTAATATGATATAATCGAGACAAAAAGGTGGTTCAAAAAGCGAAAAAAATGATTAAAAAGCGTATCTAAGAAAATATTTTTTTCTTTACAAATAATCATCAATACAAACATACATTTTTCGAAAATTAAAATTCAGTCAGTATAAATCTTAATCAATTTAATTCATATTTCCTCATATAACAATGACCGAGGATGAATAAAGATCACCACATTGGTAATTTTTGATTTACAAGCTCGAATAAGCTTTTGGTTTTGATTCTGTTCTCAACTGAATTTGTATTTGCGTAATTTTTTTTTTGGCACCAATTATGGTCAATTTTGGATTGGAAGCAACGCAGTGTCATGCTGTTTCTGTAAAGCCCTAAAAATTGAGAACTGAAAATATGAAAACGTGTCCAAAACCCTCGCTCCCAAACCCCCTTATTTCCCACCCGTCTCCGTCTCTATGTATCTCCTTCTCTCCATCCCCAGGCTCTGTCATCTAATCAGCCGTTCACAGCTTTGCCTTTCCCTTCTCTCTCTCTCTCTCTCTCTCAACTCATCAATATATCTTTTAAAACACAAAACCCTTCGTCTTCAATTAAAAGTTAAAACCACATCCGTTCTCCTTTCTGTCTCCAGTGGGTGAAATAATCTAGGGTTTTCATTTTTGTCATATCGTACCTATACGCACATTTTTCTAATTCGTACTCCTACCAAATACTATAACAGTATACATATATATATTGACTCTACAATTTAATTGAGATGGTCTCCGGTGCGAGAATCGATGGAGGAGGGACGACGCAAATTGTATCGGCAGGGCTGATGAAAACCATTCAATCAATCAAAGAAATAGTGGGCAATCACACTGACGGTGACATATATGCTGCCCTTAAAGAGACCAATATGGATCCTAACGACGCTGCTCAAAAATTGCTTAATCAAGGTCCTTTCTTTTTGGCTTATTTTAATCATGCCCTCAATGTGTTATACTTCTTCATCCTTTTCTTTGGCTTGTTTTACCCTTTTTTTGCCTGTTTCCTTTTTTTTTTGTGTTTTCTTAATAGTGTTAAGTTTGCAGTGATTTTGTCATTGGCAAAATTAGTTGCTGAAGTGAATTTATGGCCCTTTCTTTT